GGAACTGGGTGCAATTCCTGGTCACCTGAAGACTTTGGTACCAAAAAGGGATATATATGCTGGAGAGTAGTGGGCAAAATGGAGACATTGCCCCACAAATAAGAATTCTACCCTCCAATGAAATTTTCCTTCCAGATCTCTAGCATTGCAGTAACATAAAAATCCTGATTGAGCAATTAGAAATAAAGTTCTAAGCACAGAAAGAAAGGAAGCAGGCAAAGCGAGAAAAGGAATGCAAGCACAGCAAATGGGAGCATTTTAGATGTGAACGATTTTCCATGCATCATTCTCTGCAATGCAAGAAATCTGCAGGCAGAAGGGAAGGCAAGAAGAGGAATGCATGGGATAATATATTAAAATTCAAAATACACATCACAGTGATACCTTTATGTGGCCAGTAAAAAAATAGGCTGCACAAGCTTTCAAAGCTGGGTAGGCTTTTTCATTAGGTATAGATGTTAAAAATAATTTTTCAGGAGAAAAAAAGTAGAATCATAGAATCCTAGGATTGGAAGAGACGCCAAGGGATATCCGGTCCAACCCCTTTCTGCCATGCAGGAAGACACAGTTAAAGCACTCCCAAAAGATGGCCATTCAGCCTATGTTTAAAAGCCTCCAAAGAAGACTATAGTTGCCCCTCCGTTTTTGCAGGGGATCCATTCTGCAAAAATGGAAAAATGCCAATATTCAAGCCCCATTGGTTTGAATGTTGGCCCGCGCCTATGGAAATCCATGGGCACCCGCTGGTGCGCACCACAGGCATGCACCCCATTTTCTGTTTGTCCCCTGTGAATGGGTGAGGGACGTGGATTCGAAGTCCGTGAAAATGGAGGGGCAATGGTATAGAACAGGGGTTGGCAACCTATGGCCTGTGGGCCAGATGCGGCCTGCGGAGGCCTTTGGACCGGCCCCTGCCCATTCCTGCCACAGCCGTCATCACCTTTTGCGGCTGCGGGGGTCCTCCAGGGTGCCATATTGGATTCCAAAATGGTGCCTAGAGTCTTGTGCGACCTTTCCCATCGCGGGAAATGTCACACGAGACTCCGGGGCGCCATTTTGGAATCCAAAATGGCGCCCCAGAGGGGTGCTGCTGAGGGAAGCCTCCTGGGGGGCACCCGTGGCGACGCTGGGCCTCTTGAAGGCCTGGCGTGGCCGAGGGAGCCCTTCGGGGGGGCCCTGCCATCGTGTGTATGTGCACGCGATGTGGGGGCGGCCACCACCATTTTGTTTTTCAAAATGGTGGTACGTGTATGCACGCGCGCACCGGCACCCACAGCCATTTCCCCCCTCTCCTCCCGGCCCATCGGCAAAAAAAGTTGCCGACCCCTGGTATAGAATATAGATCTATAGAATAATCTCAGAGTGGTAATAGAACTGTCTCAGAGCGTTAATGGGTTGGATGAGGAAAAACAGATTGAAGT